CCACTTAGAGAGGGCTTTAAAGAAGTGTGAATCAGTAGATAAGTCTAAGTTTGACATTTGGGCAAAAGTTTGTTGTTCTTTTTTTTTTTTTTTTTGCTTTTCTTACAAAACGTTGAAGATTTGCACAGTCATTTAGAGTTAGGCAGTGCCTAGATTGAATTAAATCAATGTGAAGAAGCTCTGTGTGCTATAGTGCTTGCTTTGCTGACCTCAGATACATGCGATGATCCTCAAAAGCTTCAGGGATGACCCAGAGATCTACAAATAGAAAAAAAAGTTGGGAAGGGCTGCTCTAAAACCAATGAAAGTGTTAGGAATGAAATGTAGCATCAGCTACAGTTTCTGTGCATGAATATCACGGATTATCTCTGTCCAGGATCAGATATAGATGGTGGTCCAGAAAAAGATGTCCAAAACATTCCATGGTATTGAGATGAGTTGAGTTATGAAAAGAAGGATGGAATCTAGGATAACATTCAAGGGATGTGTTTGTTATTTCTTTCAAGAAGAAAGCAACCTCTGGGTTACACAGTTTCCACATTTGTGAGTACCCAGTCCCCAAAGCTTCTGACTCCCAAGATAATCCTTCTGCAAAGTTACTGTTTCAAAAGTAATTTATTTTCCATTCATTTTAAAACATCCATGTATTCTCAGTTTAGCATGCCTATATTACAGAGGTGATATTTTGTCTTTGAGATATGGATGGTAAAGTAATTGGACTTTAGCCGTGCCATTGTTGACAGAAATGATTCTGGTCTGATTTTATGAGGAAAGTAAAGAAACCTCACTAGTTCAGGAATTTAAAAGAATTGAAAGGTGCCTTTGTTCTCTTTAGACAGAAAATGTTTTCTTTTTGCTAAGAGAGTTGCTGAGAATTGAAATTACTCTGAAATTTATCTATATCTCATGACAAATACATCTCTTATCTTAATTCCTTTTGTAAAAGACACTTCCCATCTGGATAATTACATTTTGCTTTAGTCTTCCACTCCAAAGACAATGCCAGTGGATTTTAAGATTTATTTTCACCCATTTCATTAGCATGCTTACCGATGAGAAACTAAAGTGTCTTTATAAAAAAATCTAGACCTCATTATGCATTTTGTACATTATGTACAATATGTCTTCAGTGAATATTGTTTGTACATATATAATGGCTAGAGTGAATCATTACACTGAGAAGTACAAGAGAGTATATTTATATTTACTCTCTGAGCTACAACTACTAAGCTGAATTTGATGAAGTGAAGAATCTTCTCATGTATCACGAGTCTGCATCATTGATATGTTTTAGGATTTCTTTTTAAAGCAATTCACCTATTTACCATGACTTTACCCAGCCACTAATTCTCCCAATACAGGCAGTCCTCACTTTAGCAATCATAATTGGGAGCAGCAACTCCACACTAAGCTCCACAGTCACTAATTGAAACATCACATGACTGGAATAGGCTTACAACTTCACTTCCTCTTTGCTCATTAAGCAAATCAAGTTTACTTCTGCCTTTTCTATTTACGGTACTCTATTTGTTACAACTTGAGAAACACACAAAATGGCAACAGTGATCACCGAGAGGGTCCTAAATGTGAGGAATAGTCACAAGATTTTTTTTTTAAAACTGTCCCAACTTCAAATGGTTGTAAAACAAAGCAGACAATAATCAAAGACTATATATCTTTTTTTCTTTGTGAAGGAGTTCAACATTTTTAACTGTTTCCAGATTTTCTATAATGGGAATTTATACAGAAGGCATTTTTAACAAATAAATATTTAAAAGTACCACATTACTTTTGCCCCAAAAATTCGGTGTGTGATAGTACAGGTATATGTAATTTTTCTGAGGCTGGCATTAGGTAGCAATACTTAGACTTGAAAAAATGCTGAAACTTTCAATTATCTTTTTGAGGTTTAAGAATGTAAATCAACAGGTTGTAATCACTGCAATGTAAAATAGGATCTGCAGAGAATTCAGTAAAAGGCAAGTTTCCTCAAAATGATACTAGTAGAATAGCAAAAGATATCATAAGAAAATGGCTAAATCTACAGAAAGGCCAATTCATACTTGTTCAGGTATATCACTTTCTACTACATTCTGGACCCATACCATCCATCAGGGTTCAAATAACTACGTTACCATTGCCTGTTGGAGAATTAAAATTTTATGTAAAGATATGTTTCTTTTTCAGATTCTTTATCATCAAGGAAAGTTTTCTGCTTTACTATGCTGAGAGTGAAAAGAAGAACTTTGAAAATAATCGGTACTTCAATATTCATCCAAAGGTTAGCAACATCTCCAAAGATATTCAGATAGGGTTTTGTAAGAAGGGAATCTAGAACGACTGGATTTCTGCTTCACAAAACATATTTGTGTACTTAAAATGAACTTTTAAAAACATTTAAATGAACCTACACTGTGTATTTAAGATATAGCATGCATTTTTAATCCCCTTGAAATCCAGATTACTTTTTCCTAGTTTAGCTTCCAAAAAGCCTGGAAGTTGTGGCACTTCAGAAAGCATTTGAGGACAACCAGGATTGTGTGAAGCCATCTGGAGTGATTGTTTTGACTGATTGACTGATTGATTCTATTTTAATGGTATTTGTTGCTTGACGTAAGCAACTCAGAGCCATCAGGAACTGAGTAGCGTACAATTATGTTCAGTAAGTAAATAAATACAGATAGTCCTCTGTTAACAACCATTCATTCAGCAAGTGTTCAAAGTTACAATGATACTTACAGCCTTTCCTCAGAATTAAAGATATCACAGCATCCCTGCAGTCAAATGATTGCAGTTTGGGTACTTGGCAAACAGCTCACAATGACAATGGTTGCAAAATCCCGTGGTCACATGAGCAGTCTTTCACAGCTGGCTTCCAACAAGCAAAATCAATGGAAAAGTCACCACAAGGTCATATGACACTGCATTTAATGACCATGCGGGATTTGCTTAAAGGCACAGTAGTTAGAATGCAGTATCGCAGGCTAACTCTACATTCCCAATGCCAGCAGTTCGATCATGACCGGCTCAAGATTGACTCAGCCTTTCCATCGTTCCGAGGTCGATAAAATGAGGACCCAGATTGTTGGGGGCAATATGCTGACTCTGTAAACTGCTTAGAGGGGGCTGTAAAGCACTGTGAAGCGGTATATACCAGTAAGTCTAAATAGTATTGCAGTCGCCATTGACTTAATATGAACTAGAACTTAACATGAACTAGAACTGCTGGTATTTGCTATCATAAGTCAGTATGGTTATGTGATATCACACTTTATGACTATATCATTTAGCAACAGCATTCCAGGTCCTAATTACTACCATTAACCAAGATTACCGGTAAGTAAATATAGCTTCTCCATTCTATACTTCTTATTCTTGAAATTGTACTCCTTTTCTGAACACCCTGAACATTAGGAATTTCAGAAACTGTGGTGTTATGCATTAGAGTAGATTGGCTTAAGGCTTCTGACATTCACTTTGCTTTTATTCAGAAACTCAGTAATAATTCATGGAGGTGATTATGCCCTTCTGCCTTTAAATAAAAGGTGCCACTTAATATACAGTATATGCTCAGCCTGAGAATAGCATGTACAGTTCACTAGGTGTACTTCTGTTACCTCCTCCCCTCTGTCTTTATGATGAATTGACACTTAAGAGTATGAACACTAAACAAAGGGACGAACTAGAAGGAATGACGGGATGTGAAATAGTTTAAAAGGTCAAATATTTAGGAGTTTATATTTCAACCTCAAATGGGAAGNCAGGGGAAGGATACTGCAAAATCTCCATTCCCACCCCACTCCAGGGGAAAGTTACTGCAAAATCGCCCATTTCCTCCCAATCAGCTGGGACTGGGGAGGCAGAGAATAGATGGGGGTAGGACTAGTCAGAGGTGGTATTTACCGGTTCTCCAGAACTGGTCAGAACCTGCTGAATACCACCTCTAGTAGGCTGTGAATGAATGTTGAGATGTATCGTTCGGAGCTCTTATCATAGATTCTTGTGTTTTTTTTAATCTCAGAGAAAATTTAAAATAATTTAAAAAATATCTTGGTTCATAAATTAAAATTGAGTCTTTTCAACCTTAAATCTCACATTTGAATGGAAACTTGGCTAGTGGGATTTATATTCAAATATATAGCATGTGAATGCTCAATGTTTGAACAGACGCAATCTTCACTGAGCTCAAGAGGTGGTTAGTCCCATCCAGTGTATTCATTAAAGGAACCCTTTGTGCCATAACTATCCCCAATATTTTTTTCAAGCAGCAGAAGGCCCTTCTTGGGTCCTCCTCCCATTTTATCTTTACAACAACCTGACAAGGTAAATTGGGCTGGTTACTGCCTCTCAGCACGAGAATTACCCAGGGAATGGATTGAGGATTTGAACCCAGATCTTCATGTTCTTAGCCCTAAACCTTAACCATCATACTAAACTGACTAGGAAAGTAATATGAGTGCCATTTCATTCTATCTGCAACTATACTTTGTGAATGCTCCATTGTCACACAAACTATGCCTTGGCTTGTTACACTGAGGGCTCCATCTACTTCATGAAAAAGGGGTTTTTCTCCCCCTCCTGCTTGTCTGGAATGTTCCCTCACTGTTCAGGGCATCAGGAAGTGAAATGAAACGAGGAAGCTCACATCATCTCTGCATCAGGGAGACAAATATCGAGCACTGGCAGCACAGTTATTGATTCAGAGCTAAGCCTCACTCTCTCCCCCTCTCTCCCCGAGTAAGCAGTTACGCCTTTCTGGTTCGTTGCATTTAATCGGATTCCTACAGCTGCAGAGCAGAGGCAGAGAATTATATATATATTTTTAAGTCTGCCTCTTAATAATGTTTACTTCTAAATCCAACTCGGTCTCTCCTTCCCCCTCCATGGATCCAACAGATCTGGATGCTTTGGATATCCGCACCAAAGTGCAGCTGTATGGAGTGCTCTGGAAAAGACCGTTTGGGAGACCATCAGCCAAATGGTCCAGAAGGTAAGGCAGAAAGTGTCTGGATAGAGCTGCAGAGGCAAAAAGGGAGGGCAGAAGAGAAGAGAAGAGAAGGTGATTATGGAGTTCATAATGGGAAGGAAAATCCAGAAAATCTGGGATAGCAAACAGGCTGGGATTTTGAAATATCCAGACAGATCAGGCAGGATCTTAAAATGTCCAGACAGATGAGTTCCAGAATAGAAGAATACAGTCCAAGAATGGGGCTTTATTAATGTGTAGGATCAAAATCATTGTCACCACCATCATCATTATTGTGCAATTTTATGGAATCTATTAATTAGTAATCTGGGCAAACACAATTTCTGTGTTGTGGTCCTTTTTGTGGGTTGGCAAAGACTCTGCTTGCAATTCTCTGTGCTCTTTGAAGAAGGGGCATAGGTGCCAACTGTATATAAGAGATAGAGAAAACTTATGTAGCATTTCCATTCGGACTCCATGCTTTTTTTTACAGAATGTAGGCTAAGTTGAGATCACCCACTTCTAGGGAAAGTTTAGCCAAGCAGTGAAGGCTTTCTTTTCTTGCTTGTTTGCTGCTTGTTGGGTGAACTTAATTCCAAAATGCTTTTTTGGGAATGCTGGCTGCCTGATCTGAAGACATGACACGGTGCCAACACAACAGGGAGGAGCGAAACTGTTCATGATATCACATGCTATCACTATCTAATCCTACGCACATATTTATCTTGTGCTCGTTGTCAGAATTGCTACACAATTCTATTGCTCAATCACAAAATATTACGGGTTAAGAGAAAATGCCATCTCCATAATAAATAGCCTATTCCTAAATATAATGTTGAAATAGTAACTATGTATATGATCAGGAGTAACTTATGCTATTGCCAGATTTCAGAAACATTTAGCACATAAGGTTTGTTTTTAATCTTCCAGTGCTTCCAGAAAAAGCTTATATTTGCATTTAATGTATAGCCCAACCGAACATGAAAGAACAGTGAATAAATATAAAGAGAAGCTTGGATCAAGGGTTTCTGTGAAAAAAATTCTGCTTGCAGGGTTCTTCCCTTGAAACACAGATGGGAGATTTTTTATAAAAAATTGTGCTGATCCTCCCTCTGTTTCTTCTTTTGCCTTATCATTCCAGCACAGCATAAAGGAACTGCAGAGAGGAGAATATGGTTTAGTAGTTTCTCTCTGCTCTCCCCTGTGAAGAACCTCTGAAATGCTTTTCCTTGAGTTCATCTGTTCAAAAAATGAAGTTCTGGATCAATCTTTTTTTTTAAAGTATATGTATTTTATTGCTAATTTGCCTGAGCAAAAGAAGAGGAAGTGAGGAAAAGATACTGTATGCTCAACCTGTACTTCTACTCTCAACTTGTACCTGTGAACTCATGGAAAAGATATTCCAGGCTGTGTGCATAGAAATTAGTGGGCCTTCTGCAGCTAAGTAGAGGCAAAAGTTAATGGCAGAACCCTTCTGAAGCAGAGGAGGTGTTGACTTGAAAAACTTAGCCAACTGTCAAGAGCCAAACAAAACTGATTCCTGATTAAATAAGAATAATGCTGGTTATTAAAAATGCTCTCCAACCACAGTATGAGGGCATTGTATAAAATAGTACCTCGCCCCACAGGCTTCATATGCCTAAAGCATAGTAAAAATGCAAGTCATAAAACAGTTTGCAAGGTAAGCAGTTGGCTAAAAACAGTGGTGAGGAGCTGTCACTTCCTCAGAGAAATCAATATTCTCTTGGCACTGCTGAGCTGGGTTTCCTCTTCTTAAAGAACTAAATGTCCTATAAGGAAAGCAGGACCTTCTGTCTGGCAAGAAGATGGTTGTCATCTATGCTCCCCTGAGTTGGCTAGTTGACCTGAAATATCCTCTTCAATTCCAGTCACAGTTTTATGGAAACTAAGGTCCTCCATGTACTGTAGCAGAGAAAACTCTCATTCTCTATTGTTAGCCTATCAAAAAGAAAGAGGTAATGAGAGGAGGATGGAAGGGAGAGAAAGAGAAGGAGAGACAGTAGGAAGGAGAAGCGGAAGGGTAGGAGTAGGGGAGAGGTAAGGGAGGAAGGAAGAGGAAGGAAAGGAGGAAGGAAGGAAGTAGAGAAGAGAGGTCGGGAGAAAAGAAAGGAAGAATAAGGTGGTGTTACAACAGGCGGAAGGGATGGTAAATAAAGCAACCCAAACTGTATATTATAACCTATTAAATGAAATAACAAATGTATAAGAATGACAAATGTAAAGATGAATAATAATTATGTGAATGTATGCTTAAAATGGTATGTGAGAGAATAAAAAAATAAAAAAGAATAGAA